AAAAAAAAAAAAAAAAAAAAAAGGCAAAAAGCCAGTACAAACCCCCCCCCCTCCCCAAATAGTCCAACAGGAATGTCTATGGCAAAAATCCTTTTTTGAAAAAAAAAAAAAAGGAACATGTCATTGGAAAGAAACCCCAAATCAGCACAATGAACACGATCGGCTCCTTGGAAGCTTTTTCCATTGAAAGAAATCTTTTCTTTGATGGGTCGATTTGAACGGAAATGTGTGTGCGCCTGCAGGTGGACGACATGACATTCCAAAAGAGGGCGCTCTCTCAGTTCCTGGAGGTGTACAACATGGCAACTGTGATTGGCTCTCGTGCTTTGGCCCCACACACCGAGGCCTCGCCATGAATCTTTTTCAGCTTTTTGTTTTTTTCCTGATCCTCCTAATTTATTGCTTTATTTAATTCCCTCCTGTACTTTAATTTATTCTCCTTAGCGGAAGGCGCAGGAACATGTTGGATGGGTTCTCTCATCTTCTTTTTATTGTGTGTGTGTGTATTCATCTAAATACTAGTAATAAAGGCACACGTCCAAAGCTCATGTTTGGTCCCTCAAGTTTCCTCGAAAGCGACGACTTCACTCCATTGCAGAGGGCAGCATTTCTGCCACTTTCTCTTTGACTCGGTGATGATGTCATGCACACTTTAACCTTTGAGGAGTTTCCCCCATGCCCTCCGCCAGGGACTTTTTGGCATCTTCCCGCTGCTGCATGATGCATATTCTTCCTGATACTTGATCTGAAATGATGTTGAAGGTCAAAATCGGCCTGGAAACCTCGGGGAGGAGGGTTGAAAACCAAAACCAAAACGATGTTGCGATGCATACGTAAAACAAACTCGGATCATCGTCGTAATGCATCAGATTCAGTGGACGGCGCTCTCACTGGATGCGTTATTCATGAATTTTTGTCAACAAGCCCGAAAGAAACAAATGGCAAACCAAAGAACAACAATTTTCGAGTGGCAGTCGGAGAAACTTTGCGCTAGCGTTCCGAGCAATGACAAGTGCGTGTCGCGCTTCTCCCAGACTCATTGTTACGACAGCAAGTGTTGCCGTTTTCGGCGTGGAGACAGAAAATGAGATGAAAGCAATCTGTATTCGAGTTGGGCGTGCTTAGGGAGCGGCAGTCGCGGTGACTTCAGTTCTGGCCGCGGCTAGCGGGCGGCGTGACGCGTCCGGAAGTCCGTGCTTGCGCCCGTTGGCTTAGCGCCGAACCTCTGGAAGTCACGACTGACGAGCGTGAGATAGCATACTCTGACGGGTCTCCATCTCGGGACGCTCGCGTCAAACGTGCGCCGAAAACAGCGTTCCCGGCCCAAAACTGAACAGACGTTGTCAGTCCGCCGGCAGCCTAAGATGGCTGCCCGGCGGCTTCGGCCGCGCTGGCGCTCCAGCTTATTTTCAGACGACCACAAAGATGCGAAATGCTGCCGGGGGGTTAGCTGACCGCTAACTTGACCGCCGGAGGAGCCGCGTTGCGAGTGTTGGCATCAGCGTGTCGTCAGACTGAATCCCAGCGGGGCAGGAAATTCAAGAGAAGTTCCTCTAAAGCTCATCGCTTCCTTTTGGTTTCGAGTCCGACGCGCACGCGCGCACGCGGCCGCGCCGGCGTGTCTTAGGCCTCTTGTGCACCGTGTGCGGTTGTTGGCGTGCGCGTGTGTGGGAGACCCCTCACCTTGTCCTTCTGTGAACTTTGGTGATTTAAAGGAAATTGTCAACCACATTTTCACACTGAAATCATCACTTTGTGTGCGCGCGCGAGCGAGCGCATCTCATCTTTTAAATGCGAGACCTCGCCGACAAGTCGACACTTTGGCACCTCGACATCACTGCCGGCACCAAGTCGAGGCCCGGCTCGAGAATCGGACCTGCGATGCACACAAACGCGAGAGCCCGGTTGAGAACGTTTGCCATGGCGAGGGCCGTGCTTGGAGTCTGCGCCTACTTGTGTCTATGTCCAGTCGGGACCTCTCATGTGCCCCTGAGGATGAACAGAACCATTCAGAATCTACTGCAGCTTTATGTGAGTACTGGTGCGGGCACACATTGGACTTGATGGACTCACCTCCTGGCATTTCCGCCACGGACAACCTCATTTTATTGTGCGAGTGTGTTTGTGTTCATGTCCTGTGTTGTGTGTGTGTGCACGCAGAAAATCCCACCCAAAGAACGTTTTAACGGCCATCCCGTCTTCTCCAGAGAACTCCTGAGCACCAAAATGGAGGTCAGAGCATGTTGCTAGCCTAGCCTAGCTTAGCCTAGCCTATTTTAGCGAAGCTTGTTGTTTTTCTTTAGCATTGTGGTGGCCCGGCGGGCCAAACTTGCTCGTCACTCAAAGCGACGCAAGGTTGTCGCAGAACAACTCCGAAACAGCAAACGTCTGTTCGTGGGTCTTCATTGTCATTTTTGCCTTTTGCCGCACGACGCCTCATCCACGCAAAACGCCACTGACTACTGATGTAACGTGGTTTTTCATGTTGTCCTTGTCAATGTTGATTTCAGTCCTAACTGCTTCAAAAGTCTTTTGGTCCTTCTCTTTTTGTTTTGTGTGCTGTTGATGGGTTCAAAAGTCACCTGACCTGCCACGCCGCTGACTATTGTCGCTGCCTCTGTTCTGTCAAGGCGCCGTCGCCCCTGATGCTGATTTCCTATCACTTGAACAACTCTAATTCAAGTCCATACGAATTGACGGTTCGTTTGCCTTGATTCCAAAACGTTCGTAAATCCAATGTTGGTGACAATGACACGGGTGGCTTCATCGCTCGCGTTTGTTGCAAAATGCATCGAAAAAACAAAATCATCGCGATCAGAGAATGGAGGGAATCTGCCCCCCCACCCTTACCCTAGCCGTGACTGTTGCGTGTTTCAGGCCAAGGGCATGCTGATGTCGGCGGTGCTGCAGACGTACGAGGAGCTGCTGGGGCGCATGCTGAAGCGGCTGCCGAGCCCCACGGCGGCCGCGCCCGCCGCCACCTCCGCGCCCGAAACCGGCGGCGACGCCCGAGTCGGACTCGACTACCTGCTGAGGCGCGTGCGGGATCTGAGGAAGTACCGATATCAGGAGCAGGACAAACTTCTCGACGGCCTACACAAGCTCCAACACGTGCAGGTACAACGCCGCCCCTTCTTTGAAATATTGCCGTCTTCAAATTTGACACACGTCCCCATAACGCTTTTCTTCATGTCATTCCGACGACATGTGTCGAGAGACAAATATCAAGCATCCACGTTTCAACCACAGTCATTCTCTGGATGAGCCGTGCCCTTGAGCCCAAAGAAAAGCGCGTGCGACGTAACGTGACCTTTGGCCTTGTTCTCCTCCGCTGTCTCTCCCCAAAGATGGACGACCTGGTGGTCCAGAGCAAAGCATTGTGGGAGCTGCCCTGGCTGTACGAGGAGGCCAGCTCGTTGGCCGAGAGGGTCCGGGCGAGAACGTCGCGGCGCCGGCGCCGGCGCCACGCGCGCAGCAGACCTTGAGCTGAAGGGATTCGTTTTCATCCGCTCACATTTGACTTGTATTTATTACGACGCTCTCCACAAACACATTTAGGGCTCCTGGATATTTATGATGCTATTTAAGATTTATTTGTGATTATTTATGAGCTATTTATTGATTGGGATGGAATAAAGATGCTACGATTCGATGGCTGTCCCTATGTTTTCATTGATGCCCCCCACCCACCGCCCCAAAAAATAAGAAATAAAAGAAAACGAAAGAAGCGCCGTTGAGGGGAACTCGCGCTTCTCAGAAGAGCACTGACAAACCCTCCGCGGGCTTGGAAGGAAGCTTGTTGCGAGAGGAGTCGGCTCCCTGGACACTTGGGAGGAGAAGCCTCGCGGGAAGTGACATGGCAGCCGGTCCTCTCGGATCCAAAGAAATTGCTTGAAATAATTAATTGGCCTCACAAATACAGTCCAAGAGAAAAAGTCATCAAATCGGCCGTGCGCGCGCGTGGCGGCTTGTGTGCACGTCTGTCTGGCTGTGAGTTTCTGTGTGAGCTGCATGGCGGTGGGGGCGGCTGCGACCGCGAAAAAGAAACCCATGACAACATTAAGAGAGAAACTGAGAGTTGATGCTCACCTTCCTCCACTTTTGTCTTTGCGCGCGCGTTTCGGTGTGAGTCAGCAGCGGGCGCAGGAAAAGGAAACAACTTGTTGCCTTTCTAAAAATGTGTCAGACATTGAGACCGGGTGGAATATTTATTTTAATTGTATTCATATTTGACAGCGAGTGGAAATGTTGTCGCCCACTTTTTTTTTTTTGGAGTGCCCTCTCAATCTAAAAAAAAAACAAGTCAGTGGCATTCACACATGGAAATTGGAGCGTCACTGTTTCCGTGACAAGAAGACGGCCTTTGTGACCAGAAAATCAGCAAGACATCACGATGCACGTTCTTTTTTTTCCCCCATTCTTCACTGAGTAAGATTCAGGTAAAAGAAAAAGAGTTCTGGCACGTCGGCAAGGGGGACTCCACAAGCATGCCACAGGTGACAAACCCACTGACAATATCATCATCGCCACTGAAGCACTTGTTCACGTTTACAAAACCATCACATTGACAATGGCATTTGGATTTGTGTGCGTGTGTGCGTGTCGTCTGCTGTGTTGTATTATGTCGTGTGTTTGTCTTGAGTGTGTTGTGTTGCAAATGTCGCGGGGCTGTGTGAATTGTGTTTTTTTGTGTATTGTGCTGTGTCACGAGTGGTGTTTGTGTGTTTGCAGTGTGCTTTCTGGGCTCAGCGTTTGTGTGTGCGTGTGTGATGTTTGTATTTTGTGTTGTGTTTTTTGTATTGCCTGTCCTGTTTTGATTGCGTATCGGGGGAATACGAAATCGGATTGTGTTTTGGTGACATCTGGTGGACGCAATAGAGCCACTTGTATTTGAGAGAGTTGCGGCGTGTACACAGAGCTACTTTTGTGAAATAATTTGCTCGTTCACTTGTATGTATTTGGCTTTTCGGTTTAATTTCGCACGTATTCATTTTTGTTTTACACTCCAGTGTAAATTATTTATGAGCTATTTGGCGCAATCGCGGATTTAGTTGTAAATCCGCGGGACTGCGGGGCACCCGCGTTCGAATGGTTCCGGTTCGGCAACCGCGATTAAAACCACCGAAGCAGAACAGACGAAGAAGAAGAAGAAGAAGAAGAAGGAGACCCGGAAGTGCCCGTCAATCAAACTCGGCGGCAAATTGGAAAGGAAACCAAGGCGCCATCTTTAAACAGCTTCCCAACTCGTCCGTTTCAACTTCATACCGACAACTTGACCTCGTTCACATTGTTGTGGAACAACAAACGTTCCAAAGCTCGACGAGTGGGCGAGTTTGAGGAGAAAGCGCAACCAGTCGAGCTGCAAATCCGATTTGAGTATTACAGACTGACTTGACTGTGTCCTGGGACTACTCGCGAGTAAGTTAACACCAGTACTTTAATCACATCCTCATATCGCTTCAGTTCTTGAGCAAATAAGCATTGTGCCGCCACAAATCAAGTGCTCAATACTGTAACTGCGTTTACAGGTCAAAAGTTAGATACATTCTGCCGGCAGGGCGCTGCCGTGACAGACTTGTACGCCAGATGGCAGTCCATCATTAACTGCGCTTGCCTGCTCCTGTCGAATCCCGTCAACAGGAACGTCACTTCCAGAGCCCCCCCACCTCATCTTAATCGGTAAGTGCAAAGACTTTGAAATACTGTACTTGACATCCGGTACAACACTTTAAGGGGGTAAATCAGTATTTATATCATAGCATAATGCCGTGACTCCTGAAATAGTCTTCGTTGATCTTTACATCAGGGGTATTTGCCTCAAATGAAGAATGAGAATATAGCTTGCATGAAGGGCCGAGAAGTCCATCATCATGTCAAACTTGGTGGGGGGGTATGACTGACTGAACAGAGACCATCTCATTATTTTCTCGATGACGTTCGTTCACTGATGGTGCTTTGTGAAATGTCTTCGAGTTGAATTGGAATCCCATTTAAAATGAAATAACCTGTTTTGAATGATCACTGCCCCGGTAATGACATTCATCAGCACAACCGTGTAATGTTCTCCCATGCATCAAATAAAAGCAGGCCTGCGTTTCAAAATAAGAGCAAGTCAATCCAAATGAAAAATCGGATGTGTTCAAAAAGAGTGCCTGAGAAAAATAAAGTGAGACCTTCTCTCCCGAAATGCTGTTTTAATCAACTTTTTACTTCAGTGCTAGAGATCAACAGTTTGTCGCCTCCCTGAAATGAGGTCGACACATGGACAAAAAAACGGAACCAAACACTGAATATATTGATTATAAAAATATTTTATTGACTGTTGCTGTGTGTAAATGTGGTATTGAATGACAAGATGTATTTAAAATTTTACTGTTGGCTATATGCGCACTTTAAACATGCTCACGTTCACACCAACATGTACGCACGCATGATGAAGACACTTGCTGGAAATAAACTGACCCCTGGCCTCTCACAAATCTGACACCGCATATACACGCACGCACACACGCTTGTGCATTGCGACTAACTCAGAGACCCTCACAGGCAAGCATAAAGTCAGTTTGAGAGATGACACGTGTGTCCAAAGGACTTATGCGTGCAGACAGAAAAGTATGCAATTGTATTTTTGTTCTGTTATTGGTTGTCTATCGTGTTAATAATGTACATTAGTGTATTGTATTGTATTGTATTGTATTGTTAGTCACTATGGAAACACAAACAAAATAGCCACTGCGACTCTCTGATCTTTCTGCTATTCATCATTTAAAATAATATATAATCACATTTGAATGATTTAAACATGGACTCAAATATGTAAAACATCTCTTATCTTTGTTGTCTGTGAGCTTTGTTTAATTCCATAATAAGTTAATAAGGCTCATTTTAAATTGTGTACGTAATGAATTTGATGTAATGAAATTAATGAACCAACTATTTTATAAAATCAAAATGTATTTTTTATTTAGAATTTCTCAAAAATATTTTAAAAAAGACATCTTTATTCCATGTAAAATATGTGCACTGCTAATGTAATTGTATTTTTAATTACATTTTAATTAATAAACCAATAATCCAAAGTAGTTGGTTTATTTGCCCATTTTTTTTACAATAACGTCGTTCAAAGAAATGAATAATGACAAACTCTTTTGACCGAACTGATTAATAATGCAACAAATGACAGGTCTGTTAGCTGTTACCATGACAACAGACAGTGCTTTCCTGCCCGGCAACACAGCCGTCATTGGCTGCGAGTCGTCGTCAAGGCTACAAGTGGCTCCTAAAACCCAACAAAGTAACCCGTTTATTTCCATTCATTGCACACATGATCCAATGTGGTCAATAAGACTTTTATTCATATTCGTATTCCACCACAATAAAAAGTAACAAAGGCTCACTAGAAAAGGTGTGTGTGTGCGTGTGTATAGTGTAGTGTAGTGTACAGTGGATACAGTACGTTGTAAAAGTGAGTGCAGCATTCATGAATCCGCACAATATCATACATACATGTCAAAAACCCATAAACGCCACAAAAATACAGAACAGCTAACAGTAGCGGAGTCCGTCTGGACATATGTCCGAAACAAGCTAGCCTCATCACCGAGCAGATTGGCTGCAGCTTTCACAAAACTCGACTTGCGTTTACCCTTGTCTACTTGTTCTGTCGTCTCTCTGAGCAACGTGTTCGCCGCTAGCCTGCCTCGAGCCGCGGAATGCACTTCGGTAGAATCGACCAAATGCCCTGGGTGTTTGTCACGCTGTCGTCATCATAGCTGAGCTTAGTCTGAGGTACCGAAAACGATAAGACTAATGCCCACAGCTAGATCCAGTGATTGTGCTACGAGCGCTTTCTAGGCAGTGGTTCGTGAGGAGAAAACAAACGTCAGTGGCAGTGCAGGGCCTTTGCATGCTAGCGGGCGATTGGCTCGTGTCGGCTGATCCTCACTGAAACAATACTGCTAATGCTAACCGCTAGCTTGAACGCCTGGCAAAACCTGCTACTGGTGCGCTGTTAGCAGTTAGTCGTGGGTGCGATTGACACTACCATCAGGAATGGAATATAAGCCTGAGTGCAGCAGCTCCCATTTTGGACGCTTGCGACTGGCTGATTCGCCCTACCAAAGTCATGCACCGCTAAATAGCGCTTTCTTAGCATTTGGCTAACGGCACGAAGAGAAAAAAAAAACAGTGGCTGCTAGGGGTCGATTGGCCAGTGTTAGCTTAGCCCATTAAAAGCATCATGCCAATGCTCAAAAGACTAGCCTTAAGTGCAACAATTGGGTTGGGGTTGGGGTTGTGTCCCTATTAGAAAACGCATGCCAGTGGCGTGTGGAGGCCAGCATTTTGACACGAGCGGTCGGCTGTCTTGTCGTCTTGTGGAGCAGCTCGCTTGCCGCCAGCCTTGGTAGAGGAATGCACTTTGGTAGAATCAACCAAATGCCCTGGGTGTTGGTCACGACCAGGCAGTTTGAAGTACCAAAACAAAACTGGAATTGCTCACCACAACTTACTACTGGTCCTCTTTGATCAGTTAGCAGCGGGAAAAGAGCACCATAAGCTTCACTCGTCGAAAAGAAAGCGCCTAGAATTGCGGACGCTCGTGGTGATTTGGCTTGTGACGCTCACGACGAGCGTGAGTGCTTGTCGCAGCGCTGCGAGTATTGGTGCTCGCGTCACCAAAGCCCTTTTCGTACTGCACTCGCTGAATATGAAGTCGCACATCAACGCGAAATGATGGGTCGTGTCTGCCATTGTTGCAAAAGACTTTGCTGCCGAACACGAGCAGCGCGGACACCCGAATGGCTCGGCGAGAACTTCGTCAACTAAGTGCTGTTCCTCGTAAATCACTCTGCCAGCTACGCTCCAATCGGAGGCGCTTGTCTGACATCACGCCGACAACTCCCTTGAATTGAACATTTTCCACTTCAAGGTGCCTTGCTGCCGCGGCAGAAGTCCTCTTGCGGTACCGCTCCGTGCTGCCCAGCGACGCAACGTTCCATGTTTCCCGCCCGGCACCGCACGCACTGTACGGAAAGAATGGGTTTGACGACGGTGCGCTGCGCCCTGCTCACTGCAGTCTGAAAAGCGCTTCAGAGAAACCGTCAATGGAGCGCCGTTGTTAGAAATAGCCCCCCCCCCCCCCCCAAAAAAAAAAAAAACGCC